TCCAATTCCCCATCTAGATGATATGTTGGATCAGCTATCTGGTTCTAAGATCTTCTCAAAAATTGACCTTAAGAGCGGTTACCACCAAATCAGAATAAGGCCTGGAGATGAGTGGAAGACGGCATTTAAAACGCCACAAGGGTTGTATGAGTGGATGGTCATGCCTTTTGGGTTATCCAATGCGCCCAGTACATTCATGAGATTTATGCATCAGGTCTTGCGGCCTTTTATGGGGAAATTTGTTGTAGTTTACTTCGATGATATCCTCGTTTATAGTCCGACATGGACTTCACACTTCGATCACCTCCGTGCTGTTTTGAGATGCTGAAAACGGAGTGCTTGTTTGTCAATCAAAAGAAGTGTTCTTTCTTCACTACTTCTGTGACTTTTCTTGGTTTTGTTGTGTCTACTGATGGTGTTCATGCAGATCAGTCAAAGATAGATGCAGTCTTGGAGTGGCCCAGACCAAGAACCTTACATGACATCCGAAGTTTCCATGGCTTGGCGTCTTTTTACCGTCGATTCATTAGAAATTTCAGTACTCTGATCGCCCCTATCACAGAGTGCCTCAAGGGGCGTGATTTCCAGTGGTCTGAGGAGGCAGAGGCCAGTTTTCAACTGGTCAAGCAGAAGATGACCGAGGCTCCAGTTTTGGCACTTCCAGATTTTGACAAAGTGTTCGAGGTAAATTGTGATGCATCTGGCGTTGGCATTGGTGGTGTTCTGAGTCAGGCAGGTCGTCCGGTTGCTTTTTTCAGTGAGAAGCTATCGGGATCAAAGAAAAATTATTCCACTTATGATCTGGAGTTCTATGCCATAGTTCAGTCCCTGAAGCATTGGCGTTACTACCTAGTACAGAAGGAGTTTATTCTGTTTACCGATCATGAGGCCTTGAAGTACATCAATGGCCAACACAAGCTGAGTAGACGTCATGCCAAGTGGGTAGCATACTTGCAAGAATTCACTTTTACGCTGAGGCACCAAGCAGGGAGTTTGAACCGCGTCGCAGATGCCCTGAGCCGTCGTACCTTACTTCTCACCACCATGAGTACTAAAGTTGCAGGATTTGAGACGTTCACAGATATGTATGCAGCTGATCCTTCCTTTGGAAGGATATTTCAGGAGGTAACTGAGGGTCACCGTCATGATTTTGTTTTGCATAATGGGTATATGTTTCGTGGATTACAATTGTGCATTCCAGATTGTTCATTGAAGCAGCAAATTATAAGTGAACTCCATAATGAGGGACACTTTGGCCGAGATAAGACATTGGCCCTTATCTCTTCTGAATTTTATTGGCCCAAGTTGACTAGTGATGTGGCCCATTATGTGGACCGTTGTTATGTGTGCCAGCGGTCTAAGGGAGTTCTCACCAATGCGGGATTGTACACTCCCTTACCTGTTCCTGAAGCTCCTTGGTTCGATGTCAGCATGGATTTTGTACTAGGCTTACCCCGCACCCAAAGGGCCTCTGATTCTATCTTTGTTGTGGTTGACAGGTTTTCCAAGATGGCTCATTTTGTAACTTGCAGAAAGACTATGGATGCTGACCGGATTGCCCATCTCTATTTCAAGGAGATTGTGCGTTTACATGGTGTTCCTCGATCCATCACTTCAGATCGTGATACTAAGTTCATCAGCCATTTCTGGAAGAGCCTGTGGGGGAAACTGGGAACACATTTGAATTTCAGTAGCGCCTACCACCCCCAGACGGATGGCCAGACTGAGGTGGTGAACCGAAGTTTGGGAAACCTTTTAAGGTGTTTGGCAGGAACGAAGCCGAAGCAGTGGGATTTGGCATTGCCTCAGGCAGAATTTGCCTACAACAGATCAAAAAACAGAACCACAGGTTTAAGCCCATTTGAGATTGTCTATGGTCAGAACCCATCCGGGGTGTTGGACTTAGCCCCTATTCCACGTATAGGACGTTTCAGTCCTAAAGCAGATGAGATGGCAAAGTATCTTCGGGGTATCCATGAGCAGGTGAAACAAACCATTCATGAGAGCAATACCAAGTACAAGACTCGGGTCGACAATCATCGTCGTCAGGTACTTTTTGATGTTGGTGATTTTGTTTGGGCTGTATTAACTCGTGATCGTTTTCCTGTTGGTGAGTATAATAAGCTTAAGGATCGGAAGATTGGACCTTGTGAGGTCGTGCAGAAGATCAATGATAATGCTTACAGGTTGCGACTTCCCAGTCACTTGAAGACTTCTGATGTCTTTAATGTGAAGCACCTGAGTCATTGTTTTGTGGATCCTGATGACACTACTCTGAACTCGAGGACGAGTTCTTTCCAACCCGGGGCGACTGATGCAGGGGGATCCGAGACAGATGATGCTGAGCTGTCAGATTGCACGTTGATGGCGCTGAGATACCATGAGTTGGCAGATCAGCGCAAAGGCGGGAATTGATTGTGACATGTTCCTCATTGGGGTCGTTTTGAGTATGTTTCAGTCTTTTGGCCATAACTTTGGCTACAGGTGTCAGAATCGCGCATAAGACCCCAATCCGGAAAGCTCTTTTCGACGCGCACGCTCTCCACATGGAGCTACGCTCCATGTGGCCTTTTTTTCAACCTCAAATTCTGCCGTTTTCCCCTCCGAATCACTAGATTTAGTTATTTTTTACTATTTATGGTAATATTTCGATTGTTAATTAGGAAGTCAATTTAAATCCGATTTAGGCCGGATTTTTGGGAGATTGCTTATTTTATTTCAAATTTTAATTTAGAGTGATTTTCGGGATTTTGCTATTTTTGGCAAAATTCTAATAAAGACGATTTTTGGCTATAACAGTCCGGCTTGTGGACTGCTTTTTGGATTATTGATTTTATAATATTTTATTAAACCCTAGAGACTTTTTTTCTCTGGTTTTTGGGCGAATTTTCTCTTGTGAATCGTCTGTCGGAGCTAGCCTACAGGATAATCACTATTCTGTCTGGCGTCAATTGGCAACAACCTAGTCCTGTAGCAATAAACTGCAAAATTCAGCAAACCGATGTGGCTTTATCAAGCTTTGCCAAACGGATCTCGCTGCTCGACAATCTCCAATAATATGAAGACCCGATTCAACTGCCGCTTCACAAACTCCACATCTTGTCTCCATTGTTAGACCTCTCCGCCATCTTTCTTCATTCGAAAGCAATTTATCCTTTATCGACAGCCAGAGAAAAAGTTTAATTCGAGGAAGTCTCCGATAACTCTTGATCGGATTCCATGCGAAGTTAACATCTCCTCCCTTACCGATGTTGCTTCGCCGAGTATACGCACTACGAACAGTAAACTGCTTGCGCGTGTCCCACTTCCATGTTGGGATGTCATCCTCATCGTCCTCATTAGGCGTCTTAATAGCATCTATATAACCAAGGACATGAGGGTGGAACAAAGGCTCTAATAAATCCCATCGCCATTCACCATTAAACGCCACATCTTGCACCTTCATTGTGATATTCGTGCAAGCTAACGGATCCAAACACCACTCTTTTAACGGACCAAGATCCTCGATCCACACATCATTCCAAAAGTCCACAACCGCTCCATTCCGAACACTCCAACACACTCATTTCCTCACATCATCCCACACCAACGAGAGAGCTCTCCACAATCTCGAGCAAGATTGCGAAGAAATACTCAAAGGTGTTATCTCGGACATCTTATACTTTGACCGTAAAACCCGGGCCAGAGTTGAGTTCTATCCGATATAAGACGGAAAGCTACTCTCATGAGAAAGACTTCATTTCGCTTATTCAAATCTTTAAACCCCAATCCCCTATTACTAACCAGTTTACACACCTCCTCCCACTGAACAAGATTAACCTTTTGCTTCTCACCAGAAGCACCCCATATGAAGCGTCGAATGAGCCATTCAATATTGTTACAAACGCCCTTTGGAAGATAACACGTCTGCATGGTGTAAGAGGGTAAAGAAGAGAGAACCAACTTAGCCGACACAACTCGCCCTGCAAAGGAAAGATGACGAGCTTTCCACCCACTTAATTTGTCCTGAACCTTATGCACAATATAATGCTAAGTTACCTTAGTAACACGATTATGCAATAGCGAAATCCCAAGATATCTCCCAAGATCATCCACACACGAATACTGAAAACCACTGCTTATGTCAGATCGTAAATGTTCCGAAACGTTATGAGAAAAGCAGATCGTTGTTTTGGCAACGCTGATTTTATGACCCGAATTGTAGGCGAAATTCTGAAAGACCTGTTGAATGACATCTAACTGAGACAAGGAAGCCTCGACAAACAAGAGGAGATCATCGGAACTCTGTTGAAAATAGCCCGGGTCCATTCCTAGAGAGCTTAATCGATTTCCAATCCCCCGCCTCTACTTTATTGAAGATAGCTTGGGACAACCTTTCCATACAAAGCACGAACAAGTATGGAGAGAAAGGGTCACCCTGCCGAATACCATGCGTAAGACAGAACTCTGTTGTTCTATGTCCATTCTAGATAACCTGGGTAGTTGTGGTCGATACACAACTCATAATCAAAGATCGTACTTGTGTAGGAATCCCAATATCTACGATAGTATCATCAATAAAACCCCCCACTCAAGGCGATCGTATGCTTTCTCTAAATCAACTTTAATAACCATCCAACCTCTGTTCCCTTTCTTCTGTTTCATCGAGTGAACTACTTCATGTGCAATAAGTATATAATCGGAGATGCTACGACCGGGGATGAAACTTGTCTGTGTATCAGAGATCCACTTCGAGAGATAACCTTTAAGTCGATTAACCACAACCTTTTTAATAATCTTTAAGATAACATTACACAGGCTTATAGGACGGAATTGCGTGAAATTTTCAGGATTTGGGATCTTCAAAACTAGCGTTAACAACGTCCGATTAATCTCAGAAGGAATCTCTCCTTTCCTAAAGCATTCACAAACAAACCGGACCAGCGAATCCCCTACAATCTACCGATTCTGCTGAAAAAAGAAAGCATGGAGACCATCACATCCCGGAGCCTTTGAAGGGCTTATTGAGAAACCGCACTCTGAACCTCCTCATTCCCTACAGCCATAGACAAATTTCGAATATCCTCCGAAGAGAGTGGAGCAAATTGACCCCGTACGTGGTATGTATAACCACCATCATTTTCACTAGAGAAAAGATTGGAGTAAAATTCAACCGTTATGCGCTGTAGAATCGTCGGATCAGAAGACCATTCACCATTAACCAGCCACAACGAAGAAATCCGATTTACACGCCGTGTATTATTAGCGAAAGCATGGTAGAACTTTGTATTTCTATCTCCTTGCAAATAACAATTGCATCTCGACTTCTGGAACCACAAGCTCTCTTCATTATCAAGCACAATTACCAACTCTGAGACCAAATTTGATTCTAAATTCGAAAGAAAAGCAGAATCACGATGGGCAAGTGCACGATCAATACCTTGGATTCTAGAAATTAGCTGCCGTTTTTTCTTACCAATAGAACCAAACATGGTCTTGTTCCAATCCATATGTTTCGATTGCACTACACCAATAGATTCCGTCACCTCAGCATTCGCCGGCCACCAGGAACGCAAAGAATCAGCAAAATCAGGGTAATTCTGCAAAGCAAACACAAAAAGGAGGAGGAGGGCACACAAAGTCAGTACTACACGACTGATAAAAAGGCCTGTGGTCGGAGCCTAATCTCACCAGATGTGTGGTAAAAGACTCCGGGAAAACATGCAGCCAAGCCTCATTAACAAGAAATCTATCAAGTCTTTGTCGCAAGGATCCACGAACCCAGGTAAACCAGGGACCTTTAAACTGACCATCCATTAACCCATTGTCAAACACAAAGTTACCAAAACCTCGACCTACGCCATGTCTACCCGAAGCTCCCCCATCCCAATCATCCACCGGCAAGATGGCATTAAAATCTCCTCCCAGCATCCAAGGAGTAGAAAGCCCCGAGTTGAGGCTAGCAAGAAAATCCCACAACTGATGATGAAAAGAAATGTTGGGGCTAGCATACACAAATAATATAAACTGCACTCTCCATGTTACCAATGAAGATCTTCGTGTGAATAAATTGATTCGATACCCGAACATTTTCAATATCTAACCCTGGATTCCACAGCAGCCAAATGCCCCCAATGAAACCTCGGGCTTCAACTCGAAACGAGTACTGATATCGCAGACTTTTGATAACTTTATTCGCACGGGTACCACTAACACGAGGCTCCAAGATTGCAACCACTAGTGGACATTACTGAACCATGAACTGTTTGAAATAACGACGAAAACCAGGATTACTAGCCCTGACATTTCCATGTTATACAACTAAACATAAAAACAGAAATCAAGAGAGGCTTACCCCAGCCCCGGTGACCTCTTTTTGTTGCATCCCAATCGGCATTTTCCCTTTCGTTACAGCAACGTCAATCAAATTTGTAGTAGATTGAACCCGTTCCGAAAGCAAAAGGTGTACAGGGAGCTTATTATAAAGCTATTTTTTTATTTTCACCCTTTGCCTCCTCTTTCAAACACCCCTTTCGAACCACTGGCTTTATGGACACCACTACGCTATCTGATTGAAAGTTTAGGATTGCGATTCCCTTACTCAATACGAACAGCAACATGCTCTCCCCTTGAATATTCGACACTATTAGAGGTATATGCAATGTATGTATATAAGTTGAGTCGGCAGCAGTTAAGAGTTTGTTAAGCTGTTGGAGGTGGTTAGCTAGGTTGTTAGTATTAAATGCTTGTAAAGTTGTGTATTAATAGCTTGCTGGTGTACTGCTTGTAATCATCTGTTTTGTTAGTTCTGGGTGAATTCGAGAAGGTTTTTTTTCCGCTGCTTGCTTCATTCTTGATGCCTTGTTCTTACTATGGATCTTGCGATTGGATGTGCGAAAAGTTTCTCAAACAAGAAGGTCAACATTATTCTTGATGAGACTAACTTTTTTCTATGGAAGCAACAGATCTTGTTAACAATTCGGAGTCACCGTCTTGAACGACTCTTGACTGGAGTCATGCTACCTCCACCAGAGACTGTGCTGGATGATGATGGTGAGGAACATCTTAATGAAAGCTATGAAGAATTTGTTGCACAAGATAGTGATGTTACTTCTTGGCTGTTATCGACCATCAGCCCTCATCTTCTTCCTCAGTTCGTGAGAGCAGAAACAGCTGTGGGAGTTTGGAGAACAGTACTACAATTCTTTGCAAACAAGTCCACAACAGCGCTAATGAACCTTCACTACAAACTTCACTCGTTGAAGAAGGGCAATGACAGCATGCACACATATCTTACATGGGTGAAAGAGGTGTGTGATGCACTTGCTTCTTGTTGGAGTACTATTTCTCATGTTGAGCATATTGTTACAATCTTGAAAGGTTTACCACATGAATAGCATCCATTCATGGCGGTTATAACAACCATGAAGGAAATATTGTCACTAGATAACATTTACCCGATGTTAATGGATGTTGAGTCACAGTTAGCTGGATTTAATGAACAAACTAATATGTTGCCGGTTAGTGCCAATCTTGCTCAAGGAAGTATGGGTCATGGGGCTTACAATACTCACAATCGTCAATGTAAACACCAATTTTTCATTTTACTTAAATTATTATTAAAATTATTATTATTATTATTATTATTAAATAATATTATTATATATATAATATATTATTATTAAATTATTATTATTTACAAACGGGCCCAATGAAAACTGGACCGGCCCAGTTACAAACAAAACAGAATCGGCCCAGATCAACCAGAAACCCTAAAACATTTAGGGTTTCAGCTAGAGTTTCTAAACCTAGCTCCAGTCGCCCCAAGCTCCCAGCCGCCTAAGCTTGCTGCCGTTAGATCTGGCGAGATCCAGCGGTCCAGAGATATCCAGCAGGAAACCCTAGGGTGATGATACCCTAGGGACACGTCCCAGCCGTCGCCGTTGATTCCAGAAGGCCACACGCCCGCTGCCGACGCTTCAACTGCAAGGCGTCACTCCAACCGTTGCTGTAATGCCACGACGCCTCGCCAGAAGCCTCCAGAAGCCAGCTGCCCCCCCCCCCACACGTCGCGGCTATGGGGTGAGTCACCAAATAGCTCGGTGACTCACCGAACTTCCCCCTCTGGACCGGTCCGAGCATGGCTCCGTGGTGGCTATAAAAGCCACCGGATCCTACAAAACGAACAAAAAAAAGGAGAGAAGAAAAGACACAGAGCAAGAGCAACGATCGGACAGCCACAAAGAAAAAAAAACAATCCAGCAACCACAAATCACTAAAACAACAAGGAAAAGAGAGAAGAGAAACTTACCGAAGGAATAGCGGTCATCAGAGCCTCTTTACATCGTCGGAAAGTCAAAGGTCGAAGGTAAAAAAATGTAGATCTACGCATTTCAGTAGTTTTTTAGGCTAAAAAACCTCCGGATTTAGCTTTATGGGAAACCAGGCTTTAATTTGGGGTGGTTTTGGTATTTTCCGGCCACCGGATGTGGTGGCCGGCGGCGGGTTGGACGGTGGCCGACCGGAGAATTTCCCTCCGGTGAGGGAAATTAAGAGAGAAGGAAGAGAGAGCTTCTTCTTCTCTCGTTTTTGAGAGAGAAGAAGAATAGAAGAATGAGGCTGCTGGCCCTTCGGGCCAGCTATGAAGGGTTATATATATCCCTTCCCGAACGACGTCGTTTTGGGAAGGGGTATATGCGTAATTTACATGTATGGCTAAACCCTTTCCGTAGCCATCCGAGTTTTGTAATTATTTATTTTAGTCACTGAAACTAACTTCTGAATGTTCTAATTCAGTCTTCGAATTTTATTTTATTATGTTTTAATCCTTACCAGTATTAAATAATATATTTAGGATAAATATCATATTTAGTCCCTAATAATTTTAATATTTCTATTTTAATCACCGATTAAATAAATAATGGTTAATTACACTACTAGTATTTATATTTTATGATAATTCTAACCATGTCTCTTAAATATTTATATTTTATAATTTGATCATTAAATTTTATATAATCTTAATTTTAACCATAAGTTTTATTATTTTTACATTTTTAAGTTCACATATTTATAAATATGATCCATTAGTTTTTAATATTATTACTTTTAATTTCTTTCATTTTAATTATTATTATTTTATTTTATTATTACGTTTGATATATGTTTAAATTATTATCTTCATGATTATTTTATTATTATTATTAAGTTATATAAATATATTTATATAATATTTATTTATTTATTCTATTTGTTTATTAAATAAAAATCCTATTTATAAATTTAATTTTATAAATTACTTTTAATAAAAATAAACATATTTTGATATGTATTTATTTTTTAATATCTAAGAAAAGAGCTGTCTTAAAATACCTAGAAGTCCTTTTCTGATATTCTTAAATAAATAAATGTCATATTTTTATAAATCATATATTAATATATTTTAATTATTTTTAGATAAATGTTTTATTAATATTTATTTATTTATTAACATTAAGAAAAGAGCTGTCTTAAAGCAACTAGAAGCCCTTTTCTGATATTTCTAAGTAAATAAATATCTTATTTATAAAAATAAAGGTATATATTAATATATTTTCTTAAAAATTATAGTAATAAAATTTGAAATAACATTATTATAAATTAAATATATTTGAATTTTTAAAATTCTATTAATAGACAATTTATAATTAAAAAGTACCAATTTTGGGCGTTGTAGGGGTGCTAATCATTCCCTAAACGTAACTGACCACGAATCCCTTTTTATTAATAAAAAGAACGAATTTTTGGTTATAAACGCAGATCAGTTCATCTTTTAACTGATGTTTTCTTAAAAACTCTTTTAAAAGATAATTTTTAGGTATTCGACCTACCTGACCCAAAAGGCCGATGGCGACTCCCAAATTATTTATTATTCACATTATTTTTTCCCGCCAAGTAAAAAAATTCGTGCCCGGACGAAAAACGGTTACGACAGCATGGCGACTCCGCTGGGGATGTCAAACTTTAAAATTAATTATAAATTGTCTCTATTAATTAGAAATTAAAAATTCATTTATTTAATTTTTAATTCTTTTATTTCAAATTTTTTATTACTTATTATTTTTATATTATTTTATTAATATTTTTTTTTCAGGTATTAATTATTTTATTTATCTGTTAGAGGTTTGAACATTTCTCCTCACACACAACACTTGCATTGCATAACATAAGCTTTCTAATCAAGCTTGTCCCTTTTAAGTGGGAGTGAAAGCGACGTCTTCGTGAGAATTTATTCTCCGTGTCAGACCTAGCAAGTAACTTTCGGGGTTCATATGCTCTATGTCTTCGTGAGAATTTATTCTCCGTGTCAGGTATAGAGAAATGTGTCCCCTTGAATTGAACTCGATCCACTAAAGTCTGTAATGGACTAGGATTGAGGGTTTGACAGCCCAAAGGGGCATCAACAAGGACAGTTCGAGTACCTTTACTTCTAGAACTAAAAACCCTGCATATAATGAACCCTAGAAATTCTTCTGATCTAAGACAATACTGAACCTCTGTTCATAGGTATACACAAAGGAGAAATAAGCTCTAGCTTTTAATTTATGTTATTTCCTTTTCTTTTTCTTGAATAAATGCATGCAAACAAAGCATGGAACTAGAAAGCATGAGGTTAAGATTTATACCTTGATAGATAGATTTTTTCCATCAGTTGGTACTGACTATTCTATTTTTTCTTATTTTTTTTCATGCATGTTACATTGCTCTAATCTGTTCATATTGATTCCTTTTGTTTACATTGCATGATCATGGCATAACCAAAAGGTGTTTACTTGAAAGACTGTTCATCATATTGGAAAGAAATCATAAATGGACAAAAAGTTCTATGATCAAACAAAATATGATGCGGCCAAGAAAAGACATCCCGAGGGAACTCCGAGGATAGAAGAAAGCTATGCACCTAGAGATCATGTGTCCATTAAGGAGCAAGAAGAGATACGAGAAATAAGAGAGCAGATGTCCAAGATGATGGATAGAATATCTGTTTTGGCCAAAAGAGAAGAGATTCCTGCACAGAAAGAGAGAAACCTTAATGAACATAATCCTGCAATCTCAAATATGCAAGGGACTTCTGATCCCAATCAATTGGAGAAGTTACAGACAATCATCATCCGTATTCACAAGTCATCTGGAGATACCAAAGAAATGATGACAATCGTAAAAGCTCTCAGAGAAGAGAAGAAATCATGTAACCTGAAATCATCGAAGTTTAGTAGGCTCCCGATATCTAAAACTCAGGTTCAATCCAAGACAAAAGGCGGTTCTCATGTTGATGTTATACCTATATCATATAAAGAGTTGTATGAAAAGTTACTTGAAGCACGAGAAGTTGCTCCATATTACATAAAACCATTCCAA